AAAGTAAATTCTAAGTAGAACAAATGTTAAAACATTAAAATATTAAAGTCATAAAGTTATTAGAAGAAAAATGAGAAAACTTTTTTAACCTCAAATAGTGGAAAAGGTTTTCTAATTAGGTACGAATATAAAAGAAAAGGCTGATAAAGAAAAGATTGACAGGGCCGGCCTGTGGCTCACTTGGGAGAGTGCGGTGCTGATAACACCAAGGCCATGGGTTCGGATCCTATATAGGGATGGCCGGTTAGCTCACTGGCTGAGCGTGGTGCTGACAACACCAAGTCAAGGGTTAAGATCCCCTTACTGGTCTTTTTTTTAAAAAAAGGAAAAGATTGATATTAAAAATAAAATGAAAACTCTTCATAGCATAAAGTACTATAATCAAAGTTGGGAAACCAATAATACAGTGGAATAAAAATTGCCATTCATATCAGAAATGATAGGCTAATTTCCCTAGTACATAAAAAAACTTACGGAAATTAATAAGAAAAAGACTAACAATCTAATAGCAAATTGTGCAAAAGTCTATGAATTAACAGTTTACACATGCAAAAAAAAAAAAAATACATGTGAAAATGGCCCTTGTAAAAATGAAAAGATGCTCAAGCTCAATCCTAACCAGAAAAATGCAAGTCAAAAATACCCTGGATGATATTTTTTAACTAGCAGATTGGCATGAATTCAAAAAAAGTTTGGTAAGAAATTACATGGGATAGGCTGTGAAATTTTACACTTTTTGATTGCTGAATCATGTGAATGTGTTAATTACTCATATTAATGTGTTATCTACTCATGCAGAGTAACTAGTCTAAGAATGTTTTACTAATTCAAAAATTAATAAAAATGCATATTTATATTGAAAATGAAAAACAGTATTTTGCTTGACATCAACAAAAAATAGCTTTTATAAACATGAGTAAACTGAAACCAAATATATATATTCATATATGTGGTAAACTCCAGCTAGATATTGCTCCTTTCAAACCTCAAATTTGCTCTTTCATTGAAAAACGGCCATGTAAGACTTAAGGTCATCAGAACTATCAAGAGAATTAAAAAATAGAATAACTTTCTCACCATTAAATTCAATATTTCTGTATGTCATGACAAAATTCCACCTAAAATAATCTGGCATACCCTCAGTAGCACACTTTTCTGCTTTCTATGATTTTAGATGCGAGGATCACTGCAAAGGAAGAATGGGCATGAATAGTAAATGACTGAATGTGGGGATGCAGATAAGGAAGTACCTTATAACTGAAATATTAAGCATGGGTGCTTGAAGGAATAGTAGAAGCATTAGTAGAAATGAATAAATAAAAAACAGTGACATACATATGCAAGCAGAGAGAATGAATTCAACAAGGCAGCATTCAGGTAGAAATGGTCATAGGCATGGACAAGTTGAACTGGAGGCAAGGACAGAAAAGGCACAACAAAAAGCACTGAAAGGACCCAAGTGCATTAACAGATAATACCTACCAGCCATTTTTCATATTCATCAATAGCTTGTTTATCTTTATATTCTTTCTCAGCTTTTTTCAGTTCTTCCTTTCTTTTCGTGAACAGTAAATGACTGAATGTGGGGATGCAGATAAGGAAGTACTTTATAACTGAAATATTAAGCGTGGGTGCTTGAAGGAATAGTAGAAGCATTAGTAGAAATGAATAAATAAAAAACAATGACATACATATGCAAGCAGAGAGCATGAATTCAACAAGGCAGCATTCAGGTAGAAATGGTCATAGGCATGGACAAGTTGAACTGGNTCCTTTTTCTAAGTCTTCGTTTCTGCCCTTCAGGAGAGTTCTAAAGTTTTCTTTGTATTGGCTTTACACATTTTTTAAGTTTCTTCCTAAGTGTTTTATCTTTTTACCCGATCTTTAAAGAGATCACTTTGGTCTCATGTGCCTCTCTAGCTACTGTTGATTCTAAAATTTATGTGAAAAAATAAACAAGAATAGTCAGAAACACAGTGAAAGAAAAACTATGAAGGGAGAGTAACTCAAACAGATACTTAGATATGTAAAGCCTAATAATGAAATAGTGTGGTACTGGAATACATATAATGTGATTGACCAATGCAGTGGATTGAATTTTGCACCCCAAAGCTTAATGTGTAGGAGACTTGCGACAGCATTAAGAGGGTGGGAAATCCTATTATGGTAATTGGAAGGTGGGGCCTTGAAGAGGTGATTAAGTAAATGGTTTAATGGTGTCATGGGCATGGTTCTGTGGGCTTTAAAAGCAGTGTCTCTTTTTCTCTCTCTGCTTCACCATTTTCTGCTATGTGAGACCGACCCATGCATTTGCTGTAAAGCTAGCGCTAAAGAAGACCCTCTCCAGATGTGTTCCCTTTACTTTGGACTTCCCAGCTTCCAAAACTATAAACAATAAATTTCATTTTCTTACAAATTACCCAGTTCTGTGTATTTTGTTATAAGCAACAGAAAAGGACTAATATAACCAATGTAACAGAAAGTCAAGAAACAGACTCAAAAATATGGAATGGATCATACAAGAAAGGCAGCATCTCAGATCAGTGGGTATAAGATTGGCTACTGTTTAAAAGAGGAATTTGGAAAAAATAAAGATGGAATTATATTTTTCATCATACATGAAAGTAAATTCTAAGTAGAACAAATGTTAAAACATTAAAATATTAAAGTCATAAAGTTATCAGAAGAAAAATGAGAAAACTTTTTTAACCTCAAATAGTGGAAAAGGTTTTCTAATTAGGTACGAATATAAAAGAAAAGGCTGATAAAGAAAAGATTGACAGGGCCGGCCGGTGGCTCACTCGGTAGAGTGTGGTGCTGATAACACCAAGGCCATGGGTTCGGATCCTATATAGGGATGGCCGGTTAGCTCACTGGCTGAGCGTGGTGCTGACAACACCAAGTCAAGGGTTAAGATCCCCTTACTGGTCTTTTTTTTAAAAAAAGGAAAAGATTGATATTAAAAATAAAATGAAAACTCTTCATAGCATAAAGTACTATAATCAAAGTTGGGAAACCAATAATACAGTGGAATAAAAATTGCCATTCATATCAGAAATGATAGGCTAATTTCCCTAGTACATAAAAAAACTTACGGAAATTAATAAGAAAAAGACTAACAATCTAATAGCAAATTGTGCAAAAGTCTATGAATTAACAGTTTACACATGCAAAAAAAAAAAAATACATGTGTAAATGGCCCTTGTACAAATGAAAAGATGCTCAAGCTCAATCCTAACCAGAAAAATGCAAGTCAAAAATACCCTGGATGATATTTTTTAACTAGCAGATTGGCATGAATTCAAAAAAAGTTTGGTAAGAAATTACATGGGATAGGCTGTGAAATTTTACACTTTTTGATTGCTGAATCATGTGAATGTGTTAATTACTCATATTAATGTGTTATCTACTCATGCAGAGTAACTAGTCTAAGAATGTTTTACTAATTCAAAAATTAATAAAAATGCACATTTATATTGAAAATGAAAAACAGTATTTTGCTTGACATCAACAAAAAATAACTTTTATAAACATGAGTAAACTGAAACCAAATATATATATTCATATATGTGGTAAACTCCAGCTAGATATTGCTCCTTTCAAACCTCAAATTTGCTCTTTCATTGAAAAACAGCCATGTAAGACCTAAGGTCATCAGAACTATCAAGAGAATTAAAAAAATAGAATAACTTTCTCACCATTAAATTCAATATTTCTGTATGTCATGACAAAATTCNACATAAATAGATGTAGATATACACATATGAATTTATCTTTAATCCCTTGATGTTCATCATATATATAAATTAAATTTCAAAGCAGATCACTTATTTAGAGTGGTTCAAAAAAGTTATTTTATGAAAACTGTTATCTGAATTCTTCATTGCATTTTAACATGTCATTTCTAAAAGTAGTTATCAGGTATTGACCTACTATTCATGAGAAGGAAGTTAACTATTATTTTTGCAAGTGTGCTAAACAAATCTTATCAAAATAAACTAATAGACTGCGTGGTGCTGCAAAATGTTCATAATAAAATATTTCAGTAAAAAAATATATATATCAGAAAAGATATAGGCTTATAAAGTAAGTTAGAGTAAGATTAAATGTCCAAGCCACAGTTAGGCACAGAGTTTTGGTCTGAACCCAAGTTTTGAATGCATTATGCAAAGTATAATGTTCTTACTATAGAAACGTGTCCCAAATGTTGAAAATATGTGCCAGGCTGGAAAATATGTAGGTGGTGACTGTATAGCAAGGATGTTATTATTTTACTGGCTTCAATGTAATCCTGTAATATTCTGTGTTTGCCTTATAACATTGTTTAACACTAAATGACTTGCGGAGGAACCTCACTATGGAGGTAATGTAATTTAGTAGTAAAGTACTCCCCACCTTCATCTGTTGTGAAGATCAGATGAGAAGTTGTAAGGCACTGACCACAGCAGTACAATGCTACACACGTGGTAACGGGTATACAGAAACACCCTGTGGAGGACAGCTCCATAAGGAACTGATTCATTATAGTGCTGCTCATTTTGAAAATATTTCTTTATAAATCTATTTTACTATTGAACATCATAACAGAGGCATTTTTTCAGAGCTTTTATTTTAGAATATAGAAAAGAACTGAGCATGTTATAGGCTATCAGGCAGGAGTTAGAGCAAGAGCACAGGAGAGACTAAACAAGAGTCAAGCTCTAATCCATGGGAAAGAGTATGGGTCAAGAGCTCAGGAAGAGGTTGGTCTTGTATACATAAAATTCAAGAAAGAAAAGAGAAAACTGAAGGCTGTTGTCTACTGACCTTTTATATTCTTGGCTAAGTTCTAAATGAAGTCAATTTTTAAGGTTGAATTAGGTGATCACANATGAATTCAACAAGGCAGCATTCAGGTAGAAATGGTCATAGGCATGGACAAGTTGAACTGGAGGCAAGGACAGAAAAGGCACAACAAAAAGCACTGAAAGGACCCAAGTGCATTAACAGATAATACCTACCAGCCATTTTTCATATTCATCAATAGCTTGTTTATCTTTATATTCTTTCTCAGCTTTTTTCAGTTCTTCCTTTCTTTTCTCATTTATTTTCTCTTTTTCCTTTTGCTTGAAAAAAGCTTCCTTTTTTTCATTCCTGTGTAGAATAGCATAAAACATTGAAAAGTTAAAGGAGAATATATATATAAAGATTCCCTAATACATCTTTGGCAATAATGAGCTTTAGATATGTGAGTAAATTTCAAGTAAATAAATTTTAGAAAAGCCTCGTGTTGTTAATTTAAAATTTATAAAAATATTTATTATTTTGGATTACCATTTTTCAACAGCTGTTAAATTGTCTTTCTTTTTCTCAGCAACAGTTTCCTCCTCTTTCTGTTTCTTTGCTCTTTCACATTCTTTCTCCTTTTTATTTTTCTCTTTAAGATATTCCATTTTTTTCTCTTTCCATTTTTCAAAAGCCTGAAAAAGTTCAGAATGATTCTCTCACTTACTGTGAATATTACAAAAAAAGTAAACACAGGGTTAATCATTAAATTAATTTCAAATAATTAAAAATAATTAAGAAAGACATTCAAAGTTCTTGAATACCTGTAGTGCTTCTCCCTTCCTCACTGAATTTTCTTCTTCAGTTTTCTTCTTGTTTTTTTCCTCAAGCTTCTTTTTTGCAGCTATTTTCTTTGCCTCCTTTTCTTTCATAGCCTTCCAGGCTTCAAATGATGCTAACGCTTCTTCTTTCTTAGCAGCTCTTTTCTATTTTGGAAAAAACAATAGATATATAAGTATGTATAAACAAATAAGACAAACATAAATAGATGTAGATATACACATATGAATTTATCTTTAATCCCTTGATGTTCATCATA